ACATCCTCCCATTTGCCCTTAGCCAAGGTCTGTACATTTCTGCACTGATCTCTTTACTGCCTGCAAGTGATACACAGCATAGCCAATATTAATAAGGGACTTAGTGGCCAAAAGACAAGAAGCTCTGGACTCTGGACCCTGCGTAGTCTTGGGCACATCTGGAATGTTGTGCTCCCTTCTGAGAAGCCTTTTCTGACTCGCCGTCATGCTTCCAGAGGTTCGCAGCCAGGTCTCGGGGGGGTTGGAAACTGTCCCATAAGGAGCAGTTGAGCAAGCGGGACCTTTAACCAGGAGCAGAGGCAACATGATAGCTTCATGTTGAAAGGGGCACAGACTCCTTGTGTTGCAGAAGGAACACTTGAGTAGAAGATTTAGGAATCAGGTTTTAGCTTAATATAAATAAGAACTTTGCCATACTTAGCATGGTGTGTTGACAGTTATTTTTATTGAGCACAGCTCTATTTTAGGTGTTGTGTAATAAGTGCTTTACATGCACTGTCTCATGAGTTCTTCATGCCCACCCTGTAGGTTTAAGTGCTGTTATCCTCATTTTACAAATGAAGCTGAGATTCATGTTTAGTAACTTTGGACAATCATCTAGGTGATGAGTGGCAGAGCCGGCACTAGAACTAGAACTGAGTATGAACCCAGAGCCCATCCTCTTATCCATGCTCTGCTCTGCAAAGTGTTGAATAAGGGCAGACTAACCACCTTCCAGAAGTGCTTCCAGATTCCAGTCCACGGGGAGTTGTGTTTTGCTGCCCTGGAAGACCCCTTCCAACCTGACACTCTGTTTCACCCTCACCTTCACCCTCACCCTCACCTTCAGTCCAGGATGGTAGCCCAGCCCCCAACAAGTCTTCTGGAAGCCTCTACACTCGGGGCTACTAACTCCTGGCCTTGACTGTGCTCTGCTGTGTACGCCTCACCTCTCCAGAGTGCGGCCTCCTTTTACAGGGTCAGGGACTGGCTCTTTCATCTCTTCTTTTCCCAGCACCCAATGTGACTGCTTCACATGGTGGAGATCTGCTCTGGCCGCGTTCTCACGGCTGGTCCCAAGTGGTATCTGATGCATGTTTCCTTCCAAAATCCCAGGATAGAGTATGTAACGGTGACTCCAGAAGGATTCCGGTACCGGGGCCAAATCTTCCCAACTGTGAATGGGCTTTTCAGATGGTTTAAGGACCATTACCAGGATCCTGTACCAGGTGAGTTGTACTCTCTGACTTCTGGGGTTGGAGGGACACCTAAGCTCTGAATCAAGGTGATCACTAACCAGCTTTCTGTGGGGGTACGAGGGGAGTGAAGTATAGGCTGTCATTGCAGCTTTCTTACTCCTACTCCAACTTCCTAGCATTAGAAAGTTCCTCCATCCACTTTGCCTATTTAGCTTCATTTTTTCTCAGTACCTCCTTCAGTCGCCTAAATTATGAAACCAGAAACATAACTGACTCTGGCTATTTCCTATAGGAATCACCCCTAGTAGCAGCAGCAGGACCCGGACGCCTGCTTCTATCAATGCCACCCCAGCTAACATCAACCTTGCGGGTAAGGAGCTCACGCCTAGGCACAGAGGAATAAAGTTAGAAGGACTTGCACCTGTAATACACCCACCTTCCACCTCTTTGTGCTTCCAGATCTGACACGGGCTGTGAATGCCCTTCCCCAGAACATGACCTCGCAAATGTTCAGTGCCATTGCTGCTGTGACAAGCCAAGGACAGAACCCTAATGCTACCCCAGCTCAGTGGGCCTCCAGCCAGTACGGCTATGGCGGCAGTGGAGGGGGCAGCAGCGCTTACCACGTACGTGGCTCGGGGAGGAAGCTCTTCATGGAGGGTGTGGAAGTGTGAGAGGAAAGAGTCATCCTCCACCAACCTGTGTCAATAGGCTGGTCACTGGCAGCGCTCACCTTTACGTGCACATGTGGGCCTAGGAATTGTCTCCAGCAGATGTTCCTTCTCCTCAGGCCCATTGGAGGGGAAAAGGGATGAGAGAAGGCCTGGCCTTTCTACAAAGTCCTTTGGGGTCTTTGGAACCCTCAAGCCACCAGAAACTTCAGGTGGTCAGGAGCAGGAGGCCCTATTATTGTGCCCGGTCTCATCCCAATGGCCTACCTCTACTGCTCAGGAGAGGGTCAGCTAGAAGGCTCTGTGCTGAGCCCAAATTTCCTGCTTTCCAGAAATTCATGGGAAGGATAAATATGCCACATGCCCATCCCCATTTAACTGTTCACCCTTCTCCAGGTGTTCCCAACGCCAGCCCAGCAGCCAGTGGCCACACCACTAATGACCCCCAGCTACTCTTACACAACCCCAAGCCAGCCCATCACCACGCCGCAGTACCACCAGCTGCAGGCCAGCACCACCCCACAGTCTGCCCAGGCCCAGCCCCAGCCCTCCTCCAGCTCTCGGCAACGGCAGCAGCAGCCAAAGTAAGTATATGGATGGTGGCATAGAGAAGGCTATTAGTAAGGGCAGGTGCTGTCAAGAGGCCAAGGGACTTAGCAGAGACAGGTACTCTGGATCTTCTGAGAGCCATGATCCGAGTGATGTTCCTATGAGAACTGCTTTCTGGGAGATGCCAGAGGAGGGCATTGTGGCAGCTGGCCACGGCTGCTGCCTGTAGGTATGAGGTCCACTTCGGCAAGGGTGGATGTTCACCGGTGATTGGTGGGAAGGCTTCCTTCTAGTGAGCCTCTGGAGAGTTCTGGTCTGAAAAGCGCCTTCTCCCTCCCAGGTCCAACAGCCATGCAGCCATCGACTGGGGGAAGATGGCAGAGCAGTGGCTGCAGGAGAAGGAGGCAGAGCGACGGAAACAGAAGCAGCGGCTGACACCTCGGCCGTCCCCCAGTCCTATGATCGAAAGCACCCCTATGTCCATTGCTGGCGATGCCACCCCGCTCTTGGATGAGATGGATCGGTAGGGGGCCTGCTCCTAGGACTCTGGTTACCTATGAGGCTGGGAGAGGCCTTCCTCATTCCCTGCCCCTCCTTTTCTGTCCATAAAGTGGCGTGAATTGACGTTCTCTTTGGTGGTCAGCCTGGATGGGTGACAGGCTGGATGGCCTTGCGAACTTCAGCTCAATGTACGCTAGGCGACAATTCTCCCGCTCCAGGCCCCACCGACCACCTCTCCTGGGACCAGGCTGGGAAGGGAGTGTGGCAGGGAGGAAGAAGAGGAGGATGAGAATGAGAGTGGAACAGTTTTATATTCTACTCCCCTACAAGCCATTTTGAGCTTCTGCCCTCACCTCACTCTGGGCTGTGACCGGGCAGCAAGCTCAGCACACAAGTCTCCCCCAGCTCTTGTGGAGAGACAGATGCTATTTATTCAGTTTGGGGCAGGAGGGAGAGCAGGGGAAGTATTTCTGACCCTGACGCCAACAACTTGGGTGGCTATCAAAGCAGGATTGCAGGGGACATAGGGTTGCAGTGCTAACCTGCCCGCCTGGCTACCTTCACCCACCTGCTGCCACCGCTGCTTCCTGCCTGTCATTTGAATAAACAGTGTTTCTACAGAGCACTTGGCAAAGCCTCTCTCTCCCTCTCTGGCTCTTGAGGGGTGGTTTTCAGAAGTTTTCGGAGCTCAGAAGACTCCCGACTCCCTCAGAAAGGCAGTGACTCAGGAAAGCCGGCAGCCTCTGCATCAGATTGCTTGGTATCACATTCCCGTTCCACTTCCCAGCCCTGTGACCTGGAGTGTACTCCTATTATCTAAGCCGGTTTATCTGTCAAATGGAGATGGTGATACCTACCTCATCAGGGCATCTGTGAGGATAAACAGAACGTGTGAAGTGCTTGGCCAAATGCCTGGGACTTTATAAGGCCTCAGTAAATGTTAGCTGCTGCTGTTCTATTATTTCCACTCACACACAGCCACCCCCATCCACCGTGCCTACTACAGATGGCCCCGAACCTAACGATGGTTCAACCTAAGATTTTCCAACTTTACAATGGTGCGAAAGCTATGCACGCTCAGTAGGAACTACTCAAATCTTGAATTTTGCTCTTTTCCCGGGCCAGCAAGATGCAGCAGGACACTCTCGTGATGCTAGGCAGCGGGACCAGCAAGCCGCAGGCACCAGGGTAAACAACAGATACTCAAAGTGTGTTCATCATGTTAGATGCTTTTTCCCAAATGTAGACTAATGTAAGTTTAAAATAGACTGGGCTAAGTTTTGGTGTTCAGGTGTGTTAAATGCATTTTTCACCTGATGATATTTCCAACCTCACGATGGGTTTATCAGGATTTCGTAAGGCGAGGAGCATCTGTGGACCTCTTTGGCACATGTGAGAAAATTGGGGTTTCTCAACTGGAGTCTCTGCACTCCCTCTGTCCTTTTTGAGCCAGGCCTTCGTCTCTGACAGCCCTTCTACACCAGTCAGGTGTGTCTGACCCAGGATGGGCCTCACACTCACCTGCTGCGCATACACACTGGCCCTGGAGAAGAGCTGGGCTGCTACAGGGCAGGCCGGGCCCCAGGCCCTGGCGCTTTCCCCCAGCCCCACCACCTCTTTTCTTCTGGACTCCTGATCTCCCTGTTTCTTCACAAGACTGTTGTCTCATAGTCCATGAGTCAGTGCTGGGAAAGTGAGGCTTTCCCATTCCCTTTCCTTTGCTTGAGGGTCAGCAGAGAAGTCAGCAAAGCCCACTACTGAAAACTCGGTGAGTTCTCTTCCTTGCTTTTTTTTTTTTTTTTTTTTTTTTTTTGTCAATTTGGCAGAGAGAGAAACATTGATTTGTTGTTCCACTTATTTATACATTTATTGGTTAATTCTTGTATGTGCCCTGATCAGAAATCTAACCCGCAACTTTGGTATATCAGGATGACACTCTAACCAACTGAGCTACCTGGCCAGGGCCCTTCCTTACTTTTCTTCATTCAAGATCTCTGCCTTTTTGTTGGCAAGAGTCAGGGGGAGTTGGGGAAGGGACTGGCCTTCGGCGGGAAGGGCCTAGCAGGAGCAAGGGCACACAGTTGGAAAGATCATGTTCCATTTGGTGCTACCAGCACCTTCTCTAGGGCCACTTAGAGGAGGGAAAGGCCAGGCACAGTGGTAGAGTGGGTTAAAAGGTTCAGTTTATTAGGGGGATCACTACAGACAGTCCTACCTGTCCCCGAGTGGATTTAACTGAGAGCAGTCTCCCAGGAGACAGGAAGCCTCCTTCCCACCCCACCCAGCTGTGCTCTTCTGCTCTGGGCCTAGGATGTCATAGAGAAAGTCTGTTACAGTGCCCTTGCCCTACCCTCTCATCTGCCTTCACATGGGCTTCCTCTTGAAAGATGGATTGCCCTGAAGAAACCCCTGCAGCCCTGTAGCCCCTTTGCTCCAGCTATGCCCAGAGCCCACCCCCTCCCTGCAGAAGTAGCCAAGTTGGAGGGAGAGAGAACAGCATCAGGGGATTGGCTACAGCCTTGATTGTATTTATTCTTCACCCTGGTCGCCCTGGCCTCAACCGAGATTCGATGCTGGGGGAGATTTCCTCTTGTTGACCTTCTTGACTGGAGAGGCCTTCGCTCCAAGTTTCTTGGCCTGGACCATGTTCTTATCTCTCTTTCTGGGTGAAGACTCTGCAATATCATCACTGGAGGGCTCCTCCTGCCTGGGGTCATTGTAACTGTCCTCACTCTCCAGGTCTTCCCTGCTCTCTGGGCTGGACTCTGACATCCTGGCCAGTTCCCTTGGGCTCACTGATCTGCTCAAGTCTGGAGGTGAAGATTCCGATTTAACTGGGCTTTTCTTTTTAGTCAACTTGCCCTTCTTGACTTTTTTCTTCAGCTTTGCCTTCTCGTCTGTCTCCTCCTCGTCTTTCTCTTTTTCCTTTTTCTTCTTGACCTTCTTGATAACCTTGCTGCCCTGGGACTTCCCTGTGGGACTCTCAGAGCGCCAGATGGTAATGGGAGCCGCCGAGTCTGGGGCGCCCGTGATCGTGCCCTTTCCTACGCCGGTGTCGGTGGGTGTGGTGGTGGTGGTGGGCCCCACCTGGATCGGGATGGGAGGCTTGCTTTCTTCCTCCTCTTCCTCCAGGTCATCTGCCCCACACTCATGGTGGATGGGATGGTGGATCACTGCCACGGAGACAGGCCTGTAGCTTTTGCACCTGGGAGGGAGGGAGACGGGGAAAGAGAAGGTTGACAGAGAGTGAGGGCCGGTGCCCCACAGTGCCCCCATCAGCCTGCCAGCACTCACCAGCCATACCAGAACCGCTCCACACACTCCTCCTCTGGAATGAGCTTTGCAAAGCAAGGGGTCTGGATGATGTTGAGACAGGTTGAGCCCACGTCTCGGGAACAGGCTGAGCCTACGTCTTGGGAGCTGCTGCTATTTGTCTTCTCTGAGCAGTCCTTCACCCTGCCATACGGAACTCAGCCTGGCTCCCATGCCTCCAGGACTCCCCACGGGCCCAGAGCCAAAAGCCTGAAGACAGTGGGCTTTCCCCAGCAGTAAGGCTTTCGGCCTGGGCTGAGCCAGCTTTTCCAGGCTCAGCCCAGGCCGAAAAAAGACCTTCTCCCCATTGCACTTGGAGTAGAGCCAGGTTTGCAAAGCTGGGACTGGGCAGGCAGCGCCTGGTCAGAGCTAAAGGAGGGAACTGCAGTGAAAGTTTGGGCCTGGCTCTGCCCAGGAGTTTCCTGGGCTGTGGGTCCCCCAAGGGGGAGGGTCCTTACCTACAATCACAGTCCCAGTGGCTGACAGAGTGCAGGTGCAGTTTGTGGTGACCATAGTCAGAGGTGAAGGGGTGGATGATGTGTCCGGTGCACTGCTTGTGTTTCCAGCAGCACCTGTCAGTGTCCCTGAATTCACCTAAGGGGTGGGAGTCTGGGTCATACAGGGGCCGTAGCAGCAGCACATCTGTTTCCCTGCCCACAGCTCAGCCTAAAGGCTTCACCAGATTCGCCTGCCACCACACACCCCCTATCCCTGCCAAAGCTGTTTCTACTTCACAGTAGTAATTCAACCCAGTAATTCAACTCCAGGTCTCAGCACTCCTTTCCCTGACCCCCTGTGTGAATCGGCCTGCCCCTGCAAGCTCCCAGGAAAACCTCTCAGCAAGGTCCTCACCAAATCCCCTTTGCTGTCCTGTGATGCCTCCTGTTTCCTTCCCCTCCCCTGCCTGCCTTGGGAGCCTGCTTGCCTCTCACCCAGCTGTGGAGAGTTGTCTGCTACCTCACTTCAGAGGGTGCCTAGTAGGGGACGGCCCTTTTGCCATGGCAAGCAGTGGAATGCCACTTCAGAGGCCCCAGCGATCAGAGCCGAGCGACAGCATCCTCAGTTCTGGGAGGCCTCACAGCCTCTGAAGCCATTCCCAGCACAAGGCCGCCTACAGCCCGGCGGCTCCAGCCTGTAGGGGGGCTGAGGCCTACCCAGCCACACGTCAGGCCCCTTGGCTGTTTGGCTTGACTCTGGCCCTTTTTCCTGCCTCTCTTCAAGCCCCTTCTCTCCAAACACCTTTCTCACTTCTCTCCCCTTTCCCACACTCACTCTTGATTCTTTCCCTTTTATTTAATCATCAAATTCCCACTCCTCCATTCTCTCCATGGAGGTTCTTTAGAGCCATGGACTGGAACAACCCACCCCAGCCTGAGCCCTTCTACCCCTTGTAGGCTGCACAGACACGATGTCCCCTTTCCTAGGGCACAGGGGAGAAGCTGCTGGAGTGAGAGATTGGGATTAAGGGCAAGCCCTGGAGAAAGGTTCCTACCTCTTTTCCTCAACTGAGTGCAAGTCCAGGACACACAGTGGAGTCTCTCAGCCTCTACCCGCACCACCTTACCTCTGACCCTGCCTAAGGCGCCAGCCTATACCGATGGGTCTCCCTTCCAGCCACCCTCTAAAAGGTAAGCCCGTGAAATGACTCCACGTGCCCAGGATTTCACCTATCAGGGCAGAGTGGACAAGGCACCTTCCTGCAGGTCCCTTTGGACTCTGGCTCCATCCCCCTTGGGAGGAAGTGGGCGAGCACCAGTGACTTCCATGGCAGTCTGGCATGGGATGCTAGGGCTGGCTAACTGCCCCCAAACAGACCAGGAGCATTGATCCAGCCCCTACCAAGTGTGAAACCGGGGCAAGACGTCATATAACCCAGGCTCGGGGTGTGTTAGTCCAAGTGACCCTGAAGTACTTGAGAGATGAGCAGGCAGCAGCTTGGTTTGAGCCCTTCCCCCTAGCAGGCTGTAAGGGTCCCAGATTCTCTATACACTCTTGGCCCATTTGGTGGCCTCTTTTTGTGCTTCCTTTCTCCTCACGACCTTTCTTCACGAGCGGTGAGGCAGGACCTTGAAATACCACCACCTCCTCCGCTTGCTTCAGCACTGCTGAACTGGGGCGCAGGGCAGCATAATGGCAGTGTCCTGCGCCAGAAGGCAGGGAGGCCTGAGTCCACGTGTTGGCTCTATCACTAGCTAGGTGACGAAGGGCCAGTTACATTACTTCTCTGAGCCTTCATTGTCTTGTCCACAAAATGGGGATGGTGGTAATACCTATTTTGCAGAGCTTTTGGGATGCCTCAGTTCACATGTCAAAGATTTGTGCATCATAAAATGCTATACAAATAGGTGACTTGGTCTCCAGAAAGGGGCCCTCTCTGGCATGAGTAGGGGATGGGTTGGGGGTGGGGTGGGGTAACTCCTTCAGGACCAAACGCTCCCTCCCTCCTGCCTACCAGCAAACATCAGCTTTCCCATGTTAGGAGTGGTGAGGAACCCCTGGGACCAGAGATTCCCCTGGACCCACCTTCAGAGGAGAAGGTAGATGCATCAGTGCTAGACGCCACACCAGCCAGCAGATGTCCTCTTTCCCAGCTGGGTAACCTGTTTACATCTGAGAGAGTAACAGAGTGGCAGCAGCAGCACCCCCTCCCCATGCCTTTTATTCATCAAATAGTTTCTGAGACTCTCCAGGTGTCAGGCCCCAGCTGCCTCCAAGATTAAAAAGGTTAAAAAAAAAAAAAGTCTCTGCTCTCAAGGGGCTGGTCGAGGGTTGAGGAGAGGAATGCAGGGGAGGTAGGTGGGACAGTTTATGACAATGGCGTGATGCAGAAACTGATAGGGAGGGAAATGGTGGGGAGGAGGCCTGTGGAAGCCGAGAACAAGGACGCCGCCAGAGCCCAGTGAGGAGTGGGGATGAGGGTTAGATTGGGAAAGTCTCTCCAGGAAGAAGCATAATAGGAGCTGAATCTGGAGAAATAAGACTGAGCCAGTCCAGGCAAGGAAGGACAGATCCAGGAATTGCCATAGGGTGTGTGGGGGTCCGAAGTTGTCCTCCAGCAGAACTCCATGGGACAGCAGCTGCACCACCAACCGCAGGGTGGAGCCTGCCACTTTCCGTTTCTTCCCACGGTTAGCTTTACCCTTTGGGGCATCAGGAACTGAGTTCTGCTTAAGGAAGGGAAGCTGACAGCTTAGGGACTTCAGGTGGGCCTTCAGTGGCACTTGGTCATCTTTCTACAGTCCCCTGGTTAGTTCCTGTTTTCCACAGAACAGCAGGTCCTCAGAATTTATTGAATGTTTTCATGAAACTTCAAGCACTTCCCTGGAAACTCCTACCCTGCTGCTGTTCCTCTCAGCAGATGTTTCGCCAGCCTTCTCTGTGGCTGCTCCCACCATCAACTGGCCTCCAACCTGGGGAAGCATCCCTCCTTCCTCCTGCCCCAGGCACCTGAACTCTAGGTCCTAGTCAAAATTTTCACTTTCTCCTTCTTTAATGATTTGTTTTTTCCCTACAGGCTATGAACACCTTTCAACAAAACACTCTGAACTGTTTCTCCCTCTACCACTGCATATCCCTCCCTCTTCCTTTGCAATCCAAGTTTATTCACTCATTTAACAGACACATTGAATAGCTTCTTCACTAGACACCAGTAAGGAGGCCCAGCCCTTCCCTTCAGTGAGCTCAGAATCTTCCCCTCTGTTCCATTCACCTACACATGGCAGCTGTCCCAGCCCCTGTCGGACTAGCCCCTGCAAAGGCTATCAACAGTTTCCCAAAAGACAAAACCAGTGGCCTTCTTTTCATCTTATCTCACTTACCCTGTTAACCAATCAGTCTCTCTCTTCTGTGTACTCTATTTCTTTGGCTTACATGCAGACCTCTTTCATTCCTCTCTTTCTTCTCTGACTAGCTCTTTTGTTCTTTCTTAACCCCTCTGTTGCACCCCTTAAATTGATGATTTACCAGGGTTCTGTCTTTGCTTTCCTTCTCAGCATACTCTACAAGCTTGTTTTGGATAATGTCATCCAATTTCATGGTTTCAGGATCCACCAATAAAATGACATAAATCCAGGTGGGTCTCCAATTCAGACTGCTTTCCTGAGCATATAGCCAATATCCTCTTTGATGTCCCCAAACACCTTAGACCACACGACCCTACCATCTTCTCCTTCCTCCTTAGCCTCCATGAACCACCCCTTCTTGTATCTCCCATTTCAGAGAGCAGCAGACACCACAGCTAGGAATCTTTTCCCTCATTTCTACACCAGCTCGATGGCCAAGACAACTGTAGTAGCCTCCTGCCTGGCCTCCCTGCCTCCTGTCTCACTACCCTCATCCAGTCCTCCCAAGGCAGCCAAACCAAGTTTTCTAGAATGACAACTGGTCCACCACGTTCCTCTTCTTTAATAGCATTCTACTGCCTTCAGGATGATGTTCTCATCATGGCATAACTCTTTATTGTGCCGCCACCCCAGAACCCAGACCCTGGTTTCCTTCTCAGTTACCAGTTCTCCATGCCTTCTCTCCTGCCTTCTACTCCCCAGAAATATCTGCTTATCTTGGAAAGAACAATGCTATCCAAGTAGAATTGGTTACACATATATTGTACCCCCTTACCCTGCTAGGGTACCTCACGTATTTTATAGCATCTTTAGAGCAAGTCCCCATATTTCATTTGTTTCTACAGATTCTGGGACATGGAAAGTACTCAGTAAATGTTGGTTGATAGAATAAGTGCATGAGTAGAATAGAATAAACCCTCTATTGGAGCCACAAAAGAAGCTATGGCAGTGGAAATTCTGTCCAGGCTTCAAACCTGGAGACTTTTTGGGGGAAAAACAACTGACCCAGGATGAGCATCTTCACAATGTCAGGCACTGTGCTGGGCTTTTAAAATATGTCTTTGATTCTAGATGCTCTCACCACAGCCCATTCTATGGATGGGGACACAGAGACTCAGACTAAGTTGTCCAAAAGCCCAAGTTGATAGATGGCAGAGTAGGATTCAAACCCAATCTTTCTGTCTCCATAGTCTGTGCTCTTTCAGCCGTTTGGGATTTCTATCCAAAACCTGTCTTGCCAGATGGCACTTCGTACTACACCTGCTCAACCCTAACACAGCCAGTTCCTCATCTTCTGGTTTTACCCAATCCTGACTCCCACAGCCTCCCTTATCCAGCCTGGACCTGAGGTTAGGCCAGAGGGCCCTGAGCCAGGGTCAGGAATGAAACTGCTTTGTCTGACTCCACTTTCCTTGCTCTCTCCAAAGTCACCATGGAACAGGCCTATATGCAGAGTCCACTAACTTCCGCCAAGCCCCAAGAAACCCTGACAATCATAGTTGTCTGCCAAGGAGTGGGATTTAGTAACTCTCCTCAGATCTAAGGAAGGCAATATGCTCTCTAGTTTCACAGACAGAACAGGGAGCTTCGACTGAATCAGCAATCCAGGGCTCAAGTAGCAGAAGTGATTAGACATCCGGCGGGGTGGGGTGGGGGGATAGCTTGAAAGGAAGAGGGAGGCTTGTGGTCTCTTTCTCCGTAGGACATCAATCGGGGTACAGGGGCCTAACTCAAAACTCACAGGTGATGCTCATTTGTACAGAATCCTCCCAGTCCTGAGGGCCGAGGAGCTCCCCCGCCCTTGCAGCACAGGCGGTGGGGTTCCAGGTTGGACACCGGAGCAGCTGAATAAGGGAAGGAGGGAAGGCGGGAGGGAGAAAGGGAGGGAAAAACCAGGAAGGGAAGGAGAGAAGAGGAGGGAGCAAAGCAGGGGCAGTGTGCACGGTCTCCTTGGAAATGCAGCCCTGGACCCGCCCACATCTGAAGGCGATTGTGATGTCACGCGTGGAACCTCCAGACTCCTTTTTGCCCTCGAGTTAATACAACTTCCCGCCCAAGCCCCGGCGACAGGTTGGACGCTGGACCATGGGCTCCAGTCAGGCCCAACACTTCTCGGGCTACTGCACAGCAAAGACTTCCCGGCCGTAGAAAGGGGAGTTACAACTCTCACTCGGGCCGGAAGGTCCCCGGCAGACCCGGAGGTGATTCTCCAGGGCCTCAGGACACCAGTCTTCAACCATTGGTCCGCGGCTCGACGTGAGCCCGCCCCCGGGCCCTAACTCCGCCCCATCCCAGCCCTTGGCTCCGCCTCCTTCGTCAGGTTCACTGGTTCTACAGCCTGCTTGGATCTTCAAGCTAGCTCCAGTGCCAAGGCCGCAGCTCGAAGCCCTCCCCTAATCTTCTGCCCCGCCCTCTCCTTACCACTGCTGCTCTCATCCCAGATGTTGGCATTGTCCTCAGTCTTTTCCTTAGTCCACCTTTCAATGGTCATTCTCGTCCTGACCCACATCGCTCTCAGCCCAGTTTTTCCTCTCTACAAGACTTCCTCGCGGAAGTCCAACCCTGAACCTCAGTTTGGCCTAGCCAACCTTAAATCCCAATCTCAGCTTCGCTCCCGTCCAGCCCTCAAATCCGCCTCATGCTTGCCAACCCCTCCACCTACCTTCCCCAGCCCCCCCTTCTAGATTGTGTTGTCTTCTCAGCCCAAGTCTAAGCTTCAGCCGAGCTCTTCATCCAGGGCACCCCAGGTCCTTCCAAGTTCTTCCCTTTTTGTCCCACTTTAACCTTAGTACCTCACCTTTATCTCAGGTCTAAATCTTAGCTCGGCAGCTCAGGCCCAGCCCTCAGTCCCAATCCCTAGTTCCTCTCCAGACCTACCCCCAGCTCTTAACCCCACCCCGACTTTAGCCCCGCCTCTAGGCCTGTTCTTAGCCCCGCCCCATCCATTCTCTCAACTTTACACTTCAGCCCGTTCCTGGCCCCTCCCAATCTCTTCCGAACTCTGGCGCGGCCCTTAGCTCCGCCCCCAATCTATACCTGAGCCTCTCTCCCCCGGTTGGGGAGAGACAGCTTCCGACCACCACCCACCGTCCCCGCTCTTCTGGGGTTCCTCCAGCCCTGGCAGGCCAGGCTCAATCGCTCTCTCCGCCTACAGGCTCCTCTGATGAGGACTTGATGTCCGTTCTCAGCCCCTCTGTGGCGCCCTACCCCACAGCCTCTTACCAGCGTTCCATTCTAGCTCTGCTGAGGCGCCCTGATCCAGAGAAATACTGCCCAATAAAGACGTTAACGTTAAGCTTGGGGCTTGGTCACTTTTTCCCAAAAGTTATTAGAATAGTTTTTTCAGTTCTTCTATGTGTTAGTGCTTTATCTTATTTCAGTCACACTAGCTGATGTGTCTCTATAGGCTAGCCCAGTGCTGGGAGCAGGACCCTCTGCATTAATTCCTGGTATCGTAAAACCCTCACACCTTAAGTATAGCACACACATTGCACATGCTTGTATCACACATGTAGCACACATAAAAAAATCTACTTGCCACAAATACAATATATACATGCCCCTCACAGAGGCTACTCAGAACAAAGAACCATACCCCTGCTCCCCACATTTTTCTCAGCACGAACACTCCACAGCAGTATTGTGCAAACTACACACACACACACACACACACACACACAGTTACAGGCTCTGTGCAAGGCAAAGCAAAGAGTGATGAGCAGTCCTATGTGGGAGCAAAGATAAACAAGAACAAATTCCAGGAGAGTGTGAAAAATGTTAGAGCCATATAACCAATATTCCCACATCATGACCCTCAATTTCCCTTGGCACCAGGCTCCAGAGCCAGGATATGCCTCAAAGGATGAAAAGGAAAAGATGGTATTTAAACTTTGTTTTCTCCAGAGAAACCAAGGGCCTCTCCTGCTGCTGCTCTGAGTGATGCCCACCTTCACTTTCCTCTAGACCCAGCAACCCGCGCTGGTAGGGTCACCAGCTCTAGGAACAGCAGGGGAGGGGAAAACAGAAAAAAGTGGAGTGTGCAGAAAATCAACCCTTCCAGAGCAGAGTAGCGGGGTGAGAATGAAACCAGGCATAGAATGGACAGAGCACTTGGTCATTGGGAGCCAGGATCTGTGTTCTAATCTTGATACTTCATGGCCTCCCAGGATAACAGCAGGCCACATGCATCCCTCCATTGTTGGGCCAGATGTCTGAGATACTTCCAGCCAATCTACTCGTATAGCTCTGGGTCAGATGTCAACAATGAGCCAGGTTCTTGGTCACTCCTCCTATAAAGAGTTTTAATATGCCCTGGCTGGTGCAGCTCAGTGGATTGACTGCCAGTATGTAAACCAAAGGATTGCCAAGTTTGATTCCCAATTAGGGCACATGCCTGGGTTGCAGGCCAGGTCCCTAGTTAGGGGCATGGGAGAGGCAACCGATGGATGCACTCACATTGATGTTTCTCTCCTTCTCTTTCTCCCTCCCTTCTCCTCTCTCTAAAACTAAATAAATAAAATCTTTAAGAAAAAATTTACAATTACAGTTTTTGAGCCCTTCCTGTGTATGTGTTAGTGTTTTATCTTATTTCATCCATGAAACCTCATTAGTATCATTAGCCTCATTTTACAGAAAAGAAAATTGAGGCACAGAGGATAAGTGATTTGCCTGAGTGTCCTAGGAGGGACAGTGAGGATTCAAGTGCAAGCCCTCCCTAGAGAATCTCTCTCTATTTTAGAAGAGGGGAAAAATACACATCATAATTTTTATTCAATTTAATTTTTTATCATGTTTTAAAATGTAAAAAGATACCACTCATAATTTTATGTGTATACCCCTAATATAGTTAGATGTTAGATAGGACATCTTTTGAATAAGAATCCAGCCCTTACCCTTAGACCCTACACTCCTGGGCCAAAACTATCCAAATCTTAATCACTTCTGTGTTCCCCTCAGAGAAGCATCTTTTACTTTTATTTTTTAAAGATTTTATTTATTTATTTTCAGAGAGAGAGAAAGGAAGGGAGAAAGAGAGGGAGAGTAACATCGATATGCGAGAGAAACATGGATTGGTTGCCTCTTGCACACCCCCAACTGGGGACCTGGCCTGAAACCCGGGCATGTGCCCTGACTGGGAATCAAACCGGCAACTTTACAGTTTGCAGTCTGGTGCTTAATCCACTGAGCCACACCAGCCAAGGCAAGAAGTATCTTTTAAAGGGAAGGTGAGAAGAGGCTAAAAAAAATTAAATAAAAATATTATCCAATGGTAGAAATTTGACTATAAGCACCAAGTAGGAGGACACAGTTGGGAGGAAGGGATCAAAGGAAAGGGCTCTCAGAACCAACAATTCAGATCTCGCTCAATGAGAGTACAAGCCCCTCAAACCTGGTCCCTGAGCTCCCAGGCTGCCCAAGGCCTGCCCAAGGCCCAGCGATGGCCGGCGTCCCAGCAGGAGGCTTCAGTCTCAAGATCGCCACACAGGCCCGCCCATTCCATTTCCCTCCTCCTCAACAAAGGATTCCAACCCCCAAACTGCTAATACCAGAGAATTTAATGCATAAGGCACCGTGTAAGTCTGGGATCATTAAGCATCCTCATACCCAAAGGGCCCAGCAAGTGGAGCAAAAGAAGCGGGGATCGCCTCTCTACTGCTGGGCACCCTGGGGAGCCCCTGGAGGAAGGGGCATCCAGTCTTTGGTGTGGTGTCTAGGGGCAGGAAGTGACTAGCATGGTCCCAACTGCCCCTCTGGGGGCACTGCCACCAAGGTGCAGCTCTTTGGTCTGTAATAACAGTTAGTGCAAATGTCCAGGGGTAGAGGTCTGGGGGAGTCGAAGCGGCACGGTGCCCCAGGGCTGAGCAGTCCCTCATCCCTCAAAAGCAACATGTAGGTTTCTTCTTGCTGGCAGTTAGGTACAGGTTGTTGTCATCACTGTTGATGCCTGAAGAAGAGTGGGAAATACGTGAAGCAGGGATTGGAGGTTCGCCATGCTCTCTGCCACCCTCATCCAGGGGGGCACTCACGGACAACATCCCCAATGCGCCGGGCCCCCGATTTCTCCAGCTCAGCCAGCACATTGGCCTCAAAGGTCAGCGCCGCCACACGGAAAAAGAATTCCCGGACATTTTCACCTGACACAGGGAACAGACGGGTGTTTAGGGGCAGTTCCAGGCCCAGATCATTGGGCACAGCTGGAGTTGTAGGAGTGAGAGGCAAGGTAGGCGGAAATGCCGCAGCAGAAGGCCTGAAGACTCTAACTCACCAGTGAGAGAGGAGACTGCCCAGTACTCAGCCTTCATCTCTTGGGCCACCTGGAGTGCGTCTCTCTCCATTAACACATACTGAGCAGGAGTCTGAAGAGAAGTCAGAGTCAGCCCTGGTGGGTAGCTCAGTTAGTTAGAGTGTCGTCCCAAAACACCAAGGTTGTGGGTTTGACCCCCAGTCAGGGCACATACAAGAATCAACCAGTGAATAAACAAATAAGTGGAACAAATTGATGTCTGTCTGTCCGCCCCCACTCCCCACCCTTTCTCTCTCTCTCTCTCTCAAATCAATCAATTAAAAAATAATTTGTTAAATTAAAAAAAAAAAAAAGCCCTGGCCAGTGTGGCTCAGTTGGTTGGAGGGTTGTCCCGGTCAGGGCACATATCTAGGTTGTGGGTTTGATCCCCAGTTGGGGCACTTATGAGAGGCAACCAATCGATGTTTCTCTCCCTCCCTTCCCCTCTCTCTCAAATCAATAAGCATGTCCTCGGAGGATAAAAATAAGTAAGTAAATGAATAAGTAGTAAAATTTAAAAAATAAAAAGAAAGTCAGAGTTAGACGCGGGAAGGTTCTCTCACCACGTTGGGAAGTCCCCCCACTGGCACACTCACACTCAGGTCCTTCTTGGAACCCACAAGGAAGAGAAGCACGTTGGAAGGGTCGTTCTCCTTGAGGGCATCAGCTAGCCACTGCCTGCCACAGATGGCGGACAGCAAGAGATGAGGTGGGCAGGCTCCTTCCGCTGACCCTCACATGCCCAGTTTTCCTCTCTCTGCTCCTAGATGCAGTCTTCCCTTCCCTACCATGTCCCTGACCACCCCCCTTTTCTGAACCCTCTCTTCCCAAAGCCCCAGTTTATTTCAGCATCCCCACATACTTGGTATGTTCCAGGGAGGCCACATCATTCAGGCTGAAGACAATGATGATGGCTGAAAGAGTAGCAAAAACAGTCCCAGGCTGACAGGGAGGCACTACCTGCTCTTTTCCACAGTCCCCTCAGGCCTAGATTAGAAGCCAGGTGCACCCACGCACCCCACTTCACCCAGCCCCGTACCTTGAGCTCCTCGGTAGTAGGTCGATGCAATGCATTTGAATCTCTCCTGTCCAGCAGTATCCCAGCTGGGAGGAAGAATGGGTGAAACAGCGGTATGGGGTGGGAGGAGGGTAGATGGGATGTAGGTGCCAGAGGAAGAAATGGCTGGAAGAGTAGAGGAAGCACTTACAGCTGCAGGCTGAAGGGAACACCCAACACCTCAAATCGTTCCATCTCAAAGTCCACTCCAATGGTGGCCTTGTAATTCTTATCAAAGGTGTCCTTGCAGAACCTGAGGGGGCACCAGATGCTCTGGTCCTGAGCCCAGCCGATCTGGCTAGGCCTCGACCTGCCCTGCCCAGCCCAACCCAACTCAGCTCAAGCATTCTCTTACCTATTAATGAGGCAAGTCTTCCCCACCGACAGGTCCCCCACCACAATGACCTTGGAGATTTTAAATCTGCTGGACACAAGAGGAGACAGGAGGAGTGGGCACTAGTTCCTTCACTCTCAGGAGTCCCAGTGTTCCCTAGGAGGTCTGCAAAGGCAGCTGCACCCAGGCTGCAGCTCCCATGGCCACCAGGCCTCCTAGCCATCTTTCCTGGGCAGATGTGCTGGCCAGGAGTGTTTCGTGCTTCAGTATCAGGGAGACACGAATTTGAATTCCAGCTCTCACACTGACTAGCTGTGTGACTTAGGACAAGTTACTTAGCCTCTCTGTCTCAGCTTCAACATTTGAGTGGATATTTAGAATATATTTTATTGGGTTATTAAGAAGGTGAAAATGGGATATGTTTTATATTCTGAAACATACCTCACAAACACATTTTAACATCTCTGAAAGCAGGGTATATCTTAAAAGTGATGTGTTTTCCATTTAATAAAAGACAATAACAGCATCCAACACACTGCCTGGCACACAGTAAATCCTACATTAATAGTGGCAATAGTTATTAGTATCCCCTTTTTTTACCCACACATGGACTCATAGATGTAGGCACAGTCCCTGCCCTGGGCCCTGGGGCCCAAAAGGATGGTATGTAGGAAGATGAGCTGGGGACCACCTCCCTCTCTGTCAGAAATTGAACTGCCACCTTTCAGCAAACCCCATGTCATTGGATTCACCATAACTGCTGAAAATAAAGGGCTTGGCACAGGGTCATAAAAAGGGGGAATAACCATATAGCTGGTACGAGGCGCAACGGGTCCTCAGGGGAGTGGACATCACCACTGCCTTGACTACAGAGTGTCCTGGGACTTCCTCTCTTTGTTTTGGGTGTCTCCAGCTCACCCCACGGTGCCTGTCCGGTGCTCCTGGCAAGCGCAGGTGACCCGGGGGTGGAAGTCTTTGTGCATGTGCAAAGCGGCTTCCTTCCTCAGGTACTGAAAGGGATAGAGGAGAGTGAGACTCATCCACCATTGGCCCTTGACCGGCAGCCAAGCAGCCTGGAGCTGGGGGTGGGGAGGGGACCACCCAGAAGCAGCAGGCCTAGCTGGGTGGCAGGGCTGGGCCCAAGCCTCTAACTGGCCTGGTGCCGCCTCCTCCCCGCCCATGCACCACCGCAGCCAGAAGCCCGACGTGGCCCTGACGCCTACCTGGGGCAGCTCCGCCAGGACGCGGTCCCTCCGCACCGGCGCCAGAATGTTCATCTTGCCCGTGGCCTTGTCGGGTGTCCTGAGAAGGCGCGGAGGCCTGATCTGCCCCAGCGACCCGGGCCCGTGGGGACCCGACAATCACCCGCGACCGAGGAGTCCCGACTATAACTCGGGGCCAAGGGGAACCTGCGGGAGCCCGCGGCCTCGGGGAGGCTACGATCACCGAGGGCCACGGAGATGAGACAATCACCCGGGGCTGGGGTGAACCCACAATCACCCGAGCCCGGGGCGTCCCAAACACGACTCGGGGGCGGGGAGACCCTTCGGCCGCCAAATGGGGGTGAGGAGTCCCGTCCCGGGGATCCCGGGCCCGCGCGGACCCCACAATAACTCGGGGCCGGACAGTTCCTACAATAACTCGAGGCCGCGGAGACCCGACGACAAGTCGGGGTTGGGGCGGCCCCACCATAACAGAGCGATCCGAGGGCGCAGGAGAGGCCCCACCACACGGGGTCAGTGTGGGCAGGGACAGCACTGTGAGGCCGCGAGCCACTGCAGAAGAGGGCGAGGGGCCCAGTCCGCTGCGGGGCCCCGCGTCCCACTCGACTCTCCTTCAACGAGCCCTGTAACATGATCCCCGGAAATTCCTGGAGAAGGGCCGCCCCCTGCCCCTCTCCCGGCAGTTCCCGGTCTCGCATCCCGCCCCGGGCTCCCCATCCTCTCCTCCTCCCTGCACTGCCCTAGCTTAGGGTCCCTCGACAGACGCCTCCTCGGGGACCAAGACCGCCCCCACCCAGGCTGGAACCTGCCCAAATAGGGAACCCCAGGTTGCTCTGCCCTGCACCTCTGTGCCGGGCTGAGCCCCCACGAGGACCCTTACCCAGCCAAACTGGTGATGGGGAATCGGTGGCCGCTGCGCAGCATCTGGCTGCGCCGGGACCCGCAGGGAGGGGTAAGGGGGAGAGAAGGGGCCCAAGGAGAGGCGGCGCTTCCCTCCTCAACTCCAGGCCCGGGACGTGACTCATCGAGTCTGCCCCCGCTCGCCCTTCAGCCCTGGGAGGTGGGGGGTGGGTAGCGTAGAGGGGGTGCCAGAGGCGAAGCTGGATGCCCACCATGGAGAGAGACGTCCGAGGTCTGGCGTCTTTTCCTCGAAGGCGATCGTGTAAATTGAGGAGTGGGCAGGCTGAAGACCAAGCCGCCTCCCTTGTTGGAGGATAAAGGAGGGCTAGATGGATCGGGAACTCCGCCCTTCGGGGAAGTCACTGCTCTGGAACAAGGGGACTCTCCTCTGGCACTGGCCTTCTTCGCTCTGACCCCTTTGGAATCTTCCCAAAGACAACTTTTCCCTTTTGCAGTTTTGCAGGATAGAATTAGGGTAGCACAAAACAAATCTCACCGTTAAAGGCGAAAGCAGGTTCCCCGAGGCGAGGAGAAAGATAAAAAGAGAGGGTGGACACACACCCTCTGAGAAGCAAACTAGAGCCTTGTTAAACTTTGCTGTGTGTCCGGAACTGAATGTGAGGCTGCAAAGATGACCCGGGCAGGGAAGGGAAGACTACTTAAAGGCAAGAAGGGACTGTGAACGGAATTGACGTACACAAGAACAAGCGAACGCTGGAGATATCCGTGCACTGGGTGTTTGGAATATTGGTAGAATTTTTTCAAGAGTATTGTCAGGAAAACTTATGAAATCTGCCGTAGGTAAAGAGGGGAGATGTGCCACCTTCTACCTCCTTTAGTACTTCGTTCCTCTCCTCTGCCTGAATCGATTTTTTTTTTTCTGCCACCAAACCACCCTTTTGATAAGCCACGTCTCAATCTCAGGACTCAATTTCCACAAATGTTATTTGAAGGAGTTGGGCCTGACAAATTCTGCTCTAACGTTCTAGAACTTCGCTTCATTCTCCCTGAGTCAATCTAATTATATCTATTACAGTTTGCAATGTTACTGCCTCCTGGAACTGCAATTCTTTTCTCTGAAGTTGCTCAAGATGGGAAACGCTCAGGACTAGACACGAGTGGCAGCTGGCTGTAAGCTTCACCCTCCGCAGCAGATAAACACGTCTCCGAAAAACTACAACCCCCAAGAAGCTTTAGGGTCTTAGGAGGGGAGGGGTAGCGCATGCTTAGTTCCTTTCCGGAGGAAATTAATCCTAACTACTATTCCCAGCTAGCACCGCGCTACAGATTACCCAATCAACTTTAAGCAAAAAAGCATCGCGAGTCTTCGGTGCGACTTGGCTCTATAAGCCCGTGGGGACGGGCCTAGGAAACCCTTTTCATGAAGATGGCGCCGAAAGCTAAGAAGGAAGGTGTGTGCTGGGGTTTGTGGGGGTAGGAACACAGCTGGCTAGCCTGGGATCCCTACAGAGTGAACGAACTGAAAGGACCGTGGCTGAGCTAAGGCTTGGGGTGTCAGCTCCGGAGCTGCTCCTCCCGTTTTGGCCGGGCAGTGGTGCGCGTGGGCCCAGCCGCATGCGTTGGCCTCCCGTTGAAGGGTGAGGGGAGGGAAGCCGACAGCCAGATAGTTAGACTCAGAGGAACTACACGCGTCCACAGGCCTTCACTTTTTTCCTTTTTTTCCTTAACTTCTCATTTTCATTATAGACAGCTGTATAATCTCCCAGGATGGCTGTGCGATGGTATATATAAAACTACTCGCACGCATTCTGGCAAGTATCAAGCGTTCTAGCATTGCTGGTTACTTTTTTCTGTGTCGTATATCTGGAGTTACTCCAAGCGTGCCCCAGTATCGTGCATATGATGGAAAATTTTTAATCTGAGACTTGTGATGTCTTCAAAGGAACCACTGATGCGCGTGTAGCCTGGGGCGCCCACTACCGGTCTTAAGGCCACAAGTGATCGATTTCTGAAACCGGGACCCACGTTTTCTTTCCTTTTCTCAGCCCCTGCCCCTCCCAAAGCCGAAGCCAAGGCAAAGGCTTTGAAAGCAAAGAAAGCAGTGCTAAAAGGCGTCCACAGCCACAAAAAAAAGAAGATCCGCACGTCTCCCACCTTCCGGAGGCCTAAGACACTGCGGCTCCGAAGGCAGCCTAAATATCCTCGGAAGAGCGCTCCCAGGAGAAACAAGTCAGTACTGCCCTGTACCCTTTTTCTCTCCCCTCCACTTTATAAGAGAAAGTTTATATAGAAAGGTAACTGAAGTAGTAGAGGTGAGCCGGCTGGGCTGTGAAGGCTACCAAACTTAAAACTTGGCTTCTCAAAAACATGTAGTACTTAATGTGTTTCCCTAATGGGGTTGTGAAGAGATTGTTAATGCCTTATTTAAGAACAAGAGGAGACCGTTTTTACTATTGGCAGCAATTGTTTAAAACAACCCATAGTTAGTGCCAGGGTTAATTAATTGTTAATTATCACTTCATATTGTTAGGTTCCACTTTCTTGGAAGTATAAAGTAGGACTTAGATGTTCTTTATTGTAGAGCTCCAGGTTTAGTTCATTCTTCATAGCACCTGTTGCTGTAGGGAGTAGTTCTTGAAGGTGACAATGTGGGGTGATCCAGGTTGTTAAAGGAGATTTATTCATCTGCATTGGACAGTGAAGGCTTGCAACAGTGTATATAAACTTTTTTCATTCACTCCCAATTTTTTACACTCAGGTAATGGTTAGGGAGAGATTGGGCGAAAGGTTGGGTTACTTTAGTATTTTGGTGTGATGCCACTGTTAATAACAGACCATGGGAACCACAGATTAGAGATGAGATATGGTGGTACGATGCAGTGGGTTGTGTCTCTGGAGGAAAGCACTTGACAGTCTTTTTTACCCCTATTTGAACCTAGCATTTAGTGTAATGAGAGGTTGAGACCTGACTTAGAGCTTCAAAATGAGAAGGTGGTGTCTGTGTGAATAGAGTATTGCTTCTCTGAATTTCAGGGGAGAAACTGTTGTAGTTGTGTTTAAGCCATTGTAAGTTTAACCTGCGCTGTAAATAAAAAGTTGCTCTCAAGAACTGATGGCCCTCAAGCCAGTTTTTAGCAACCAGAGTGGGTAGAAACAGCCTCATAGTAAAGCAGCAACATTCTTTGGAACTCTGGCCTGGGTTTCAAGATGCTGCAGTCTAGCTTTGTGCTTTTCAGTTTTAACTTCTTAAGTCTTAAATTTTACCCAGAAATTTGCCCTTCAGAAATGTTGAGGTAAAGGTTTAAAAAAACACATAAACACCAACAACAGAAAAAGAAACAAAACTCGGGAAAAAAAATGTTTTAAAGAGAAAGAAGTGTTCAGGTCAAATACAGAATGACTGGTTTGGGACTCAAGATGACTCTTTAATTACTTAAAAGATGAAAGCCCTTCAGGTAAAAGAAAGTGCACATGGTTCTGCTCCTAGGCTGAGCTCCCAGGTCCCTAGGGTTCAGGTTGCAGATGATGACACTGTTTGGCGACCAAAGTCTGACAAAAATGATTGCTACTCATTGTCTGATGCACCTTGGCTTTAAAAGAGGTCCCATCCTTTCTACTGGGCTCAGGCCAAGTGACCCCATTTTACCTCCCCAAGGCTTGACCACTATGCCATCATCAAGTTCCCCCTGACTACGGAGTCAGCCATGAAGAAGATCGAAGACAATAATACACTTGTGTTCATTGTGGATGTCAAGGCCAACAAGCACCAGATCAAACAGGCTGTGAAGAAGCTGTATGACATTGATGTGGCCAAGGTCAACACCTTGATCAGGTGAGTGGGGCCCCAGGGGCTAGGGAGGAGGCTGGGGCCTCAGAAGCCAGGGAACCTGAATGGCATGAAATACCTTAAAATTCCTTGATGCTGCTTTTGGGGTCAGAGTAGGTTTTAGTGTGCAAGCCTTGAGGAATGAAGAGCCCCCGCTGTAATTATAGTCCTCTGTATGGACTATGGACTTGAGGAATCAACAGCTGTCCTGCCTCTAGGACTTGATGTATGGGGTTGGAGCTCATTTTCTTGATTCCTACCTCTAGGCTGAGGCAGACCCTAGAGTAAGAGAAAATTATGTTGGATTACCTGGATTTAAATGTCCTGTGGTGTTTCCCAAAAAAGGGCATTGGCTTTGTAACCTAGTGGCTTTCTTAGCTGCTTCTGTGCCAATGACAGAAAAAAAGTCACTATTTGATAGAAAATCACTAGTATGAACAAAGGAACCCCTAATGCCCCAGAGACTGTACGGGGAGGGTAGGAGGGCACTGGGGGTTGCAGCGACTAAGCCTGCTTTCTCCACCCTAGGCCTGATGGGGAGAAGAAGGCGTATGTTCGACTGGCTCCAGACTATGATGCTTTGGATGTTGCCAACAAAGTAAGCTTTCTTTGCCACGAAACTCCTTAACAACCACCCCCTGGGTGCCAATGATGTGTCTATTCGCGACCAAAGTCTGACTTTTGCTGATTAGCCTTAACTAACTGACTGCACCCTCCTAAATAGGCCTTACCCTATGCCCACATTATGCTTTTTAACCGTGAAATTGCAGCTTAATCTTTACATTTCAATTTCGAGTAACAAAGCTCCCTTTTGTTTTTCAGATTGGGATCATCTAAACTGAGTCCAGCTGGCTAATTCTAAATATAAAAATTTTATACTATGTGCTTCTTTATGTTGATTTCTGGTTGGGCTGGGGGGTGGGGCGCCATACTGTGGTACATACACACTAAAGAATAGTTTGGGTAAGACTCCTTGGACACTTACCCTGATGGAACATTCAGCACTATCATTTCACCATGCTTGTTACAGTCCTGGTGGCAGGAACTCAGCAGATTTTTATGATCCAGACTGGGGTTCATTGTCCTAGGACAACTAGAGAACTTGCCTCTGTCATAGGATTAAGTGAATAAGCAAGACTTTTTTATAAGAACCCTTTCCTTTATCCCTGGAAGAGGCTTTGTATGAAACCAATACCCAGAGTTTTCATCAGCATCCATTTCAGGGCAGTGTGGGTTGGCTGGCTTTCGGGTACCTTTTCCCCACACCCATCTACCATGTCCAACCGGTCTGTCTGCTTCCCTCACCCTTGCCCAAGAAAGGACAAGGACTTCAGAGAAGTGCTTTCATTAGTGTTTTCAATAGTGGGCGCAGGCTTGAAAGGTGGAGAGCCTGGATGTCCCAGGTTTGGGGCTGAGTCTTATCTCAGTTTATGCCTGAGGCTGTTCTCCTTGGCTCTTTGCAGTCCTTGCCACAAGTCCCAGGCTCTGTGCCTCTCACTCTGTTAAGAACTTGTCTTTGTGTTGTGGGCTAGGCACACGTTCAGGGCAAAAGTCTGAGCGGAGGAGGCGGGAAAAGTAGATGAGGATCATGATGTCCAGCATGAGCAGGATGCCCAGCAGAAAGGTGCCTTGGGTCACCTCACTCACATAATGCAGGAAGAAGTGGGTGAGATAGGCCTGAGGGGCCAGCCGGAAGAAGAAATACATGACCAAGTTGACATACTTGTTGATCCGGTAGAGGAGGAGATTCTGGGCATTGTTGATCTTCATCATCATGCGAATGGTGAGGAAAATGTTGCTGACCTCTACCAGTAGTGTTATGACACCCCCACCTACAAAACTGCTCCAAAAGATGCCTGAAAAGAAGGCACCCATGGCCTAGAGGGCAAAGGTGAGAACAGGTTAGGAAGTTGATACCAACACTTCACTGGAAATTGGCGGGAGTATCAAGGCTATCACATTGAGCCCTGGCTGGTGTGGCTCTGGATTGAGCACCAGCCTGTGAACCTAAGGGTTCGCACTCAGGGCACATGCCTGGTTTGTGGTGGAGGCAACACGCAAGAAGTAACCAACTGATGGGTGTTTCCCTCCCTGCCCCTCCCTTCTCAAAATCTTTAAAAAGAAAAAGGCTATTAGATTGAGACTGGAAAGTCTTAGCCTATTCGCTTTCTTCTGGCATACAGTTTACAGTGAATTCAACGCAATTAAATTTTGATCCCTATATAGAGTTTAGTTTGTTTAAGGTACTAGGTGAGGTTATGGAGTTCTAGCCTTAAATAGTGAACCAAGGGCCCAGATTAGCATCCGACGCTGGGAGGATGTAGGACACAGGGTGTGAACTGAGTTCAGAAAGGGTGGAAACTAAAGTTGCGAGCACCAGGCCTATACCACACCCTCTGCTCCTCACCATGACATGATGGACCAGGTATTCCCAAGAAGCTCGAGCCTGACGACTAACCACGATGTCCACAGTGTCGTGGATGAAATAACCTAGCAGAGGGATGGGTGAAGAGGTCATGAAGGGGACTGAACAAGAAGCTTCTTATTCCTCCACCTACTTAATGCTTACTGGGAAAGACTTACCTGCGGAGAAGCAAACGAGCAGATAGCCAGAAAGCGACCATGCCGTCTCAATCTCTACTAGCAGCTCTGGGGTCTGCCATATACTGAAAGGGAGGGAAGAACGCAGTTTTTCATCTCCCCATTCCCAAAGATCTTCAACTCCCCCATTACCCTTGCCGGTCCCGGAGGAGTCCGGAGCTCGCTGTATTAACTAGGAAGCGAGGAGGGGCTTGCCTGAAACCCAGGTGTCTGTCTCCCCTTTCCCAAGTGAGATCCCCTTCTCCTGGGGCCGCAGCCGCACGGGATTGGATAGCCTTCCAGGCAGGGAATCATGTGAGGCTGCATGGCTTCAGCTCGCCCATGAGTGATGGGGAGAGTAACGCGGGATTCCCTGGCCACTTTTATTCCCCGAGTCCTTCACTCACCACAGCAGAGCCCAGATCCCTGACACAATGGAATGGGCGAAGGAGACGAGCAGGTTGTGCCAGCGCCAGGTGCGCAGGGGGTCGGCGCGCACGTGCGCGGGCAGGGGCAGGCGACTCAGCGCGCGCCGGAGCGCCCGGAAGGTCAGCGTGGCGCCCAGGAGCAGCAGCAGGGCGGGGTGCAGCAGTAGGGGCATGCTGGCCCTCCCTGCCGTCGGTCTGTCCGCCCTCTAGACGGCCTCCTCGGGCTGTTCGGCGAATGGAGTTCCCGCTCGAGCCACTGCACTTAGGACGCCTCTCCCGCCGGCTTCCAGCCGCACACAGTTTTTCGCGGAGCCCTCTAGGCCCCTACGCTCCTCCTGTCCCCTCCCAGCGGGCCTCTGCCCCCGCCCCTGGCCGCCGGCGCCCCCGCCCCGCCCCGCCCCGTCCGCCTTCCCCCGCCCCTCCGGCGCCTCCGCTGAACAGAGGGCACTAGCCCCATCTCCCGGGGGGCCTTCCGCGCTCCGCCTCCCTCCCGCGGACTTCGGAGGCTGTCCTGGGGCGCCGCCGCAGAGGCACCCCTCCCTGGCGCCTCCCGACTGCCGACTCGCTCTCTTGGCTTCATTATCCCGCGTCCCACTTTCCGCGGGGCAATCGGCTCCCCAGTCTGGGCGAGTGTGGCGAGCACTCTCTCCGCCCTCAAATGCTTTCTGGACACACCCACGACTTTTAAAATCGGTCCAGGGGGTGGATCGGAGTCTCGCCTCGATCTACAATCTTTGCCCAGTCCCTGTTCTTTCACTAGGTCACTAGCTTTTTCAGGGTAGAGCCGGACGTGTTTACCTGCCTCTACAGGGCCCCGCACAGAGTCGGTGCCTAGAAACTGTTGATTAACCCATCACCACCCCTCTTCCCAGCCCGCTTTTGGGCTCCTGGGGTCAAGCGGCTGTACCAAACCTCCTTCAGACAGTTCGACCTCTCTTCTCCCGGCTCCCTGGAGGCTGGAGCGGGGAAGACTGCCGATTTTTCTAGGGTGACCCTCACTCTTCAGACCAGTGGCCTGGAGCATTTGTATCTCGTGGCCACTAGGTGTCAGTCTGTACTCACCATGGCGTGGGACTGACAGCCCCTCCACCCCGCGACCCGGCTCCGCCTACAAAGAAACGAGGTGGTACTTTTCGGGAGTTACCCAGCCAGACTATAGCGAAGAGAGGAGCTGCTAGAAGCCGGTCGGGAGCAGGGGGCGGGGAAAGGGAGGGGGGCGAAGTAAGGAAAATTGTAGGTTGTAGTTGGGGGCGAGAGAAAAAGTGCTGCACAGGGAGGAAAAACCAGAAACCTGAGGCGCCAGATACCCAGAGGCCGAGAGGTCCGGGTGTTTGCTTTGCTTGCCCTTATGGCTCCACGGTTACACATTAACCCCCGTGGGGCTCCTGGGTCAACCAAAGCCCTACTGGTTTCTAGGTGAGAGCACGCGTGTCCCAGGTGAGCAGCTTTACCCCTTTGTGCTTGCTCCCGCTCCCCTGGGCAGCTTTGTATGCCGGCCAACACCGGCTTGAGCCCGCAAGGGGCCCTCCTGGGACCCTGCCTAGTGGTCATTCCACGCGGGCAGGTTTGAGCACCCTTTCGAGGGATGTGATGGGAACAGAAGATAAACACACCATTCCTCACCCACTCGGAAATAGGGACGCTATCCCTTAGCTAATCACCATCCTCTTGCTCCTTAACTGAGCTTTTATTGACTCGTGCAGAGCAGGAGATGCTAGGGAGACACACGTAATTAAACTCACTTCTGGTCAAGAACCTAAACAATCGTACTAACCTCTGAGCAGAAGCTTAGAACCTATAGGCCAAACGGGTGTCTCTCCTCCCTGACGTTTTAGGATAGTGGTCCACTTCCCTCCCATCTTCTCTTAAAGAGTTTCTCCCTAGCTGAGCGTTGAAGGCAGACTACCCTGTGGCAGCATGGTGTCTGTGCAGCTGGGGGGCTGAGAGTGCTGACGAGCGCAGTGTTCACTAGTCGGAACAGCCCGGAAACCATGTCACATCCTCCGTAGGTGAATCATCTTGCCCAGGTCGCGGTTTAGCGAGTCCCTCCATAGACAAACACGAAATTAACCGGGCTCCCTGTCCCGTAGACCGGAGCGTCGCTCTCGGTTCAGTTTTGGTAGTGTCTATCGTTCACGTGCCAATGAGAATCTGCTCTTTTCGAAACAGTCACTAGTGGGCAAAGAGCGGGGCAGAGAGAGGTCGGTCCTCGTTTCCCTCCCTCATTTGACCTGCGCAGGGTACCTCCCTCGCCTTAGGAAGCTCTGCGAGGGGCGGATGAGGCCACGAGTGTGGGGAAGGTACAGTGGAGGCCTTTGCGAAGCACGCCAAGAAACGGCATATGGCGCCGTCCTTGCTGGGACCCTGGAAAAGCAACCCTGAGGATCCGGGTTGCAGGAAAGGTGAAAAAGCGCAAAGAGAGTTGTGACGATAAACCAAAACGCAATTCCAATTGCGGCTCCCAGTAATTTTCTTGCAGTGTAGGGGGCGTGGCTCTAGAGTGGGTGGGTTCGCGCACGCGCTGCGTCTGCGTATAAGGGGTTCCGGAAATGTGACTGAGAAATGAGATGGAGAAGTACGAGCGGATCCGAGTTGTGGGGAGAGGTGCCTTCGGGTGAGCCAGGGCTCTGGGGGAGGAAATTATTCAGGGAGAGGGAAAGTAAACTCCAACTCTGTCCGCGAAATCGCAGTCTGGTTAGCCCCGC